ATATATATATGACGTAAAAGTGGGTTAATTACGTCAATGGTCACTTAAGTCTTAAATAATAACACCAGCGTCATCGAAGTTATTTTGATAACAATTAAGCAAATTTATACCCTTTACACTAAGGGTCCGTTTGATTGGCAAATTGGAAAAGAATTTCAATTCCATATTAGTTGGAAAATAAAAACTCCCCAAACCTATATGAATTCGGCTTCCATTTTCACGTTGCAATCAAACGATCAAAGTGAAATTCATTTTTCTTGAATGTGACATTTTTCATGAAATTCGTTGCAATTAAATAGAGCCTAATAGTCACATGACGTGTACTTGTCGTCATAAAACGTCCAACTCTAAGAGAAAAATGATTTTTTTTCAAGCAAATCTTAAGCTTGTTTCCTCCATTTCTAAAAGTGAACACCTAGATAAGGTTGACTATGACGATCGAAAGTTGACGATGGATAAACAAAACACGTAGAAGCCAGTAATCCTTATCACGATGTCTCATAAATTCATAAGTGCAAGACAATATTGTTTTGCAAATATTCATATTTTTGTCAATTTTAAGCAAAACGTAATTGGAACTTGCACAATTTCTTCGTGTTATGATTAACTATGAGTTTATTAATTTAAGTGTTCTATATAAAATTTATTTTAACATTTATTGCATTTTCTTTTAATCTAAATTATTTTTAACGATTTGTTAAAAATTAAATTTAAATAAATAAATTACTTTCGATTTGAATTTTTTGACGAGATGATCCCACTATCGTTCACGTCTCCAAACCCCAAAATCTCATAAGAAACTAAATTTTATCTATACATAAAGGGACGTGTTGAAATCTCTTACATTATTTTTTTTAAACGAAATGTACACAAGACCTCAACATTATCTATACATAAAGGGACGTGTTGAAATCTCTTACATTATTTTGTTAAATTTCTTAACAAAGATAAAATGGTTGATGTGACTAAATAAGTCAGAAACTGAACATATAGTCATCATAGTATTCCACGAAGAAACACGTTGGATCAACGTGTATCTTCAAACAGAATATATCCTTCGGCAATATCCATGAAAAGCCCAGATACCACAAAACCATCGCCGATCAAGTTCAGTATTACTTACCAAACATGATGCAGCCCTCATTTGGGCCACATTATATTTTTCATTCTCATTCTTCTACTTCTTTTCAACCACACATTCTTCAATAAAATAATATTTTCCATCACATCAATAACTTTTCCTTCTTTTTCAACCACTTATTCTCCATCACATCATTTCAAAAAAATACATTCTTTCATTTTAATGTGTACCAAACGGGCTCGCAATGCTACTCGAGACTAAACACTTTACTGTCGAATTTGGTATAGGGGGAGAAAATAAGCTAATATATTTTTATTACTATACTGTTTAGTCTTGTCCAATATTGCATGTCAATATCCAAGTAATTGTTGTCTTGTGATGTAAAACTTGCACCAGAAGTCTTGTTTATTTTTGTAAAAGTCTAACGGTCTCCCTGCAATTTCCTTCTCCCCAAGAAACTAAATTAAACGCCTCTTTCTTTCCATCTATATATAATTCCTTTATCCCACTTCTTCCAGACTTCCACTTCCTCATTTACTGATTTTCCAGCAAAACTTTTCCCTCAAGGGTTTTAGTAGCTTCTGCAGGTGCTTTTTTGTTTTTACTTAAACAAATTAATATGGATTTGCCTCCAGGATTCAGATTCCATCCCACAGACGAAGAGATCATTATTCATTATCTTTTGAAGAAAGTTTTGGACAGAAGATTCAGTGCAATAGCCATAGAAGAAGCTGATCTGAATAAGTGTGAACCATGGGATTTAACAAGTAATCTCTCTCTCTCTCTCTGTAGATATTTGCTTCATGGATGAATTTGCTGGTTTTGGAATTAGGTTTCTTTTTTCTTTTTTTTTCCTAAAAAGGGATATGGACTTGTTACTTGTGTTAATTTCTGATGCATGGCAGATAATAGCCCCCGTTTAATAGAGATTAAAATTGAATTTTTAGTAAATTTTGATAAAAGTTGATGAAATGCATTGTTGAAAAATTGTGGGTCCATAAAATGTGTGGTTAAAATTAATTGTTGACTTTGACTTGAAATTTTAATTAGATTTTAATCCAGACCAAATAGAAATGAACATATGAAAAATTGAATTAATAAATTATGATAAGTTTCTTGAATTTGTGAAGCATACATAGAGTGGAATTGTTGTTCAAGACCATTGAATGACAATATTTTGTTCATGAACATATGAAAAATTGTTGTATAATCTAGAATTGTCTAGAAATTAAACATGGCTTTTGACACATTGCATATGGAAGGTTGGCTGGGGGTATTGAAATATGCTAGACTACAAGTAACATGGCTTGCAAAATGTTTAAATATTGCTCGTACGACTAAAATTAAAGACTTTCTAATTATGAAAGGAAATTATGGCAATTGAATTATTATTATTATTATTTCATAAACGTCGTCGATCAATTCCAAATCGCAAAACGTGTAGGTTATTTACATGTTTTTTCTGTATGTAATAGTCTAGTGTTAAAATAAAAAATAAAAAAAATACGAGCAATATTTAAACATGTAGTTCGATACAAAACATGTACTATGCACTATTGGAATTTTTAGTTAAACAATTAGAGAGAGAGAGAGAGAGAGAGTAATTGCATCATACTATAAAGTACAATAAACAAAATTTTAATTTCTTCTATAATTGTCCAATGCAACTTACATAATATTGTGGGCTACATATACATGTGAGAAAAATGGTTAAAATTCAAATGATTTGGCATTTCAATCAAGTGGAAAGAAAAGAAGTCTCCACTCGTAGCGTCTCTTTGCAGTTCACAAGCAAACTTCCAAAATGCTTGTATTTCTATTTCTATTTCGGACAACGAAATTCTTTGAAAACTCCAAAAATATTTTCTAATTTTTATTATTATTTATTAAAAATTTGAATATACTTAAAAAATTTCCTAATTTTTTAAAATAAAATCTAGAAACGTTTGACAAATATTTGAAAACTTTGATTAGAAATTGCTCTAATTCGTTTTGGCTTTGTTGTGAACTTTTGTTACGTAAATAGCTGTCAAACGATCTCTCTGACTATGATATTAAATCGGTAAAATTTATTCAATCGGTATCGATCAAATGACTGAACGAAATATCGACACCTCAATGAAGACGACCCAACCCTAAAACCAAGTGAACCATTGGAAGTAGCTTAATTTAATTAGTATTGCTCATGGTCCATTACCTCTCTTCTTGAATGGCTTATAAGCTTAGGCATCAGTGATATTAGTCCACTTGTTCACCTACATTGGGTTTGGCGCATTACTGTAACCTAATATTCCTATTAAATATGCTGCCCTCGCCTTTGTCTTGGGTAGGGTTGGGCAAAATATCCGAACCGAATCGAACCGAATCGAGCTGGTTTTTTAAAATGAAATACCCGAACGAGTATCCGAATCGAGAACCGAATGGTTTGGTTCCGTTCTCGGTTTAGGGTTTAGGGTTCGGTTCTCGGTTTAGGGTTTGGTTCGGTTCTTGATTTTAGACCCAGAACCGAAGAACCGAATAAGAACCGATTTTTTTTTAATATTGGATAAATCAATTTCTTTTATTTTTTCTAAACAAATTAATAATTTTTTTCTTATTAAATCTTATCAGTTGAACAATTTAGAGTTTATTTATATTTGTTAGTTGTGTTTTTTCAATTTTTTCTTATATAGTTTCTTAATAGTTAGTATGAAAAGTCAATCAACTGATGATTACATTAAATAGTTGGTAAGTATTATCAATACTTTAAAATATTTTATCTTTATGACTTCTAATTTATATTTCATTTTTATGTAGATTGAAGGTTTGAAGCAAATAAATTATTGATATGAATCATCGAAGTTTTATTAGTAATATTTACTTTTTGGTATTTATATTTGACAACTTATTATTGATATGTTATTAAATTAAATTAGGTTAATTTGTAAAAGTTAAGATTGAACTTGATATTTGAATCTACTTTTTGTTATTAATATTAGTATTTACTTTCAGGTATATTTATGTAACATTATTTTAAATGTTAAAAAAATTAATTATAGTACGGAATCGAACGGAACCGAACCGAACCGAAACCGAACGGTTCCAAAATTATATTTGGAACCGACGGTTCCATTTACTAAATACTCGAAAATTTCTGGAACCGAAAAAAAATCGAACCGAACCGATCCGCGCCCACCCCTAGTCTTGGGTGTGCCTGTGTGCTAATAATTTGGTGTGTGTTCTTTTGGGGGCAAACCATAGCAACCAAGAAGAAGATTACATGCTTCAGAATTAGCAATTAACTTAACAGCTTCCTTAAAATTAAATTATGAATTTATAAAAATAAATAATAAATTTTTTATACAATGTTTTCCCAGCTATTCGCGTCCTCTTTCAGAAATAGCACTTTCATATGCCATGCCGTGTTTGTTGAATGTGCAGAAAAGGAAAAGATGGGAGAAAAAGAATGGTTCTTTTTCAAGAAAGATAGGAAATACACAACAGGCATGAGAACAAATAGAGCAACAGAATCAGGATACTGGAAAGCTACTGGAAAAGATAAGGAGATCTACAAGGGAAAAAAATATCTTGTTGGGATGAAAAAAACCCTAGTTTTTTACACAGGAAGAGCTCCTAAAGGAGAGAAAACTAATTGGGTCATGCATGAATACAGACTTGAAGGAAGTTTTTGCAGTTACAGCCTTCCTATGACAGCGAAGGTATATTTGCTGCTTTCTCATTTGTATTTAGTTGTCTCGTCTAAAAGTTTAAGTTTTTAAATAAAGAAATTCAACATGGTACGTAGATATCTTAATAAAGTTCGAGCGTTACTCTCATCCATTTGTGAAAATTGTGTGTCTAACCTTTTGTATAAAAAAGACAAAAAGAACATGGCTTTGCACACAATGGGATGTGTTGAAGACACAACTTTAAAAAAAAAAAAGTGTATAATTTTCAAAAATGGGGGTGACAAGATTTTAAGTAGGACATCTATGTACTCTGAAATTGAATCACCTCATCGAAGCATTCTTCCCGTCATGTTACATTCATCCTGCTAACTTCTAGCATATAATTTCCAATGTTCATTTAATTAATACCATGTAATGCCAGGAAGAATGGGCTGTTTGCAGAATTTTTCACAAGAACACAGGAGTTCTCAACAGAAATCATCCAGGAGCAGAACTATCAAGAATGGACTCTTTTATGGAACAACATTTATTGGGTAGCCCTGCATTGCCACCATTGATGGATGTTTCTCATAGACCTAGTTTAAGCTTTACAACTGATGAAGACGGTGAATCCATCAGAGAAAATTCTACCTCAGCAGTTCCAGAGCCAAATCCCAATTCTTATAATCAAATTGGTATTCCTAATTCAACCTTTCCATGTCAAGCATCATTAGATCTTCCTTTCCAGCACCAAGACATGATTAGTTCGATGTTGAAGCCTCGTACAACCTTTCCCTTAAGAGAATTTGATCGAACTGGCTTAAGAATTGTAGCACAAAACCAAAGAATACTAGATCCCGAAAGGACTACTTACAAGATAGGACAATTCTTGACGACAAATACTATGATCAATGTTCTCCAAGACACGGCCATACTTGGCATGGAAACGGCCAATGAGAAGACTACTGTGGCTTCGAAAGGAGAAACAGAAAGAGAGAAGTCATTAGATGACTTTGAGGGCCTTTCTTTCAGCCCGATCATTTCAGATTTGGATTACCTGTGGAGTTACTAAGAAACAGAAATATGTAGCCTTATTCTTTAGTTTCTGAGGATAATAACTAGATTGGATTAACTAAATAAGATCAATGAAGAAAATGAAGTTAAAATCTTCTATAAATGCTGTATATTTTTGTCTCGTACTATATACGTAGCAAATGTGTCTTGTACTATATATTATATATGTACCAAATATGCATCCTTATGTACATTCTTGCTCATGGATAGTAGGTAATCTCATGTGTGCTGCAAACATTGTGGCTTGTATATATACTAATTCTTCAAAGTTCAAAGTGAAATTTGGTCATTTTAATTTTCTTTTTTCTTTAGAAGTACCTTATTGGCTTGCCTAAAAGGATAATTTAATCTTTTTGAAGTGACAGTTATTTGTTTCGACTATTTTCCTTAGTAAAAATGCATTCAACTCGACCATTACATCTTTTGAATTTAAATGACAGAAAAATGAAGGGTTGGAGAATGGAGATTAATCATGAAAAGTATTGAGGTGGGGGTTGACCGTTGACTTGCCACCTAATCGTCCCTAATGAACATGTTAGTGAAGAATGTTAACATGAATCGTGGAAACATTCTCACTACAGCAGAAAAATTCGTGATCCCGAGGCTCACCAGATCAAGAACGTGATACAGAAACCAGGGCCTTACTGCATGGAATAAAATTTATCAATAATGTTGTCATTAGTTTCCTTTACCACTATAAACACACTTCCTCATTAAGCCCCTATTTAGTGGGGGATTAAAATCAAATTTTTAGTAAATTTTGATAAAAGTTGATGAAATTTGTGGTTGAAAAGTTGTGATTTACATGAAATGTGTAGTTAAAATTAATAGTTGACTTTGATTTAAAGTAAAATCTTGATTCTAATCCCTACCATGGGCTAATTATGTTTATAAAAATAATTTTACTCTTACAATGTCACAAATCTTCTTCATTCTCCCAATTAGCTTCGGGCTCGAGCAGCCCCTTCCATTTGATCAAATACCGAGTGCAAGGTGGAGCACCCCTCTGTCTAACCTCTCGATCAGCCAATATGATTTCAACATCATTCTCGAAAGATTTCTTAACAATTGGAGGTTGTGATTCATTTTTGCCCGAATCTTCCGAATTGAGGCAATACACATTAGCATACTTCAATACATCAGCAAACACAGGCTCACTATGGAAATCTAATTCACCCCCTCTCAGAGTTGTATACCATGATTTTGACCTCAACCTATAGCTTTAGAAGGGTAGTCACACCGATTGATGAGCAAGCATGAAACTCCTTCAATTGCCAATATCGATTGCGACCAATCTTCCTAGCCGCGCGCGGGCCATAAGAATCACACATACGTTAAAGAGGGGGTTCACGCCTATACATATAGGTCCACTTTGAAATCGTCCGCCCTGCACCTGCTGTCCATGTACGGCTCCATGAGAAGGGCGGTGGACAGAAGTGGCCTTGTTGTACCTCTTCATCAACTGTTTGGTCGAGATACTGTTACCTTGAGTCATTAAACACTTCACGAAGAGCCCCTTCACTCACCAACTTGATCTTTCATAGGAATCGTATGTTCGAACAAGACTGGATAAGAAAGTCAACCTAACAGGTCACCTTTGCCACTCAAGTGTACGCCATCTGTCGTGCTTACTTATCAATTGGCCGTAGAATCAATATTTGAGTGATCAAACCTATCCGTTTTTGGGTTCAAAAAGGAGTAAGAAAGAATCCATCACCTTATACGACCAGATCGTGTTTAGAATTAAGTTTAACTTGACTCAAAAGAGATAGTTTGAGTTCATATGTCTAAGTCATTCATCCCATAAATTCATATAAACCAACACTTATAATAGTAGAATAACACGTACATTCGATTTTGATATCGAGTCAATACAATTCAATTTAAAGCTTAATCCTTTTGGGACGATATTCTTTCTAACTAAACTATTAGTTGTCAACAATTCCGAATGCTTGCAAAATTTCACCGAACATTTGTTCAATCGCGTTGTAACAAGAATCAGCATATCATTTTAATTGTATTGATCCGTTAATAACATATGTATAAATTGGTTGATTGAAAGAAAAAAACTCAACTTTTGAGTAATCATAATAAACTGAATAAACCATTCACTGCAAAATGCCTGCCGAGAAAGAAAGAAATTGGAAACAGCTCAGTAAGAGCCTCCTAAAGTTTCATAATATACACTGCAACACATTGACACAAAAGGTAAAATGCTTTCATACCACTCTCTCTCTCATCACAAATTCCAAATATAAACCTGACCTCCACTTGTAGCCCCAGCAAGCATTCCAACCTTGTATGGATGTGCATCAAACCGGCATGGAATAGCTGATATGAGCTCACTTTGTAAAGTAGACACAATTTTCTTTCCGGCCACAGAAATAATATCAACTCCTCTTTTCATATTACCAATGAAGACAGATGAATCGTCCCAACCCCATTTTCCTCTGTTTCCTCAAGCACATACCACAAGTTTTGTTAATGGTTAATCCTCAGTATCAAAGGATACAGCATGTCACATAAATATTTTTTTTTGAGTCATTTGGCAACAGCATAGAACTACAACACATATGCATGCACCTACTCAAATGCAGAACAACTATGGAAGCATAAGAAGAATATCCAGTCTCCAACAAATGCTGGATCACAGCCAGAATTTCATTATGCATTGGCGGGAAGTGGGGGAAAAAGCCAAAAAAAGGTTGTTGATGAAGATTTCGACATAATAAGCCCCTGTTTGACACCCATTTTGGAAAAAAAATAAATTTTGGAATAGTAATTGATGGAAGACTGCGTGGTTAAAAAATAATGAGAATTTTTGGGTTCATGTGTAGTATTATTTTATTGATAAAATGTGTGGTTGAAATGAAGAAAGAGAAAAAAATGAGAATGAGAATGAGAATAAGATGGGTTTCAAACAGAGGCTAAATAACGGAGAGAACATTCCACTCAAGTATGGACGCCTCAAGTTTGCAGTATAATTTAGCATGGATTTATCACGTGCCAACAATAAAAGCACTTCATGGGAAGAGCTAAAACTAATAATTTGAAATATATAGTGTAATTAATGGTTTTACATTTACCGCACCAACATTTTTCAATATAACATTCTTTCCCACAAAAAAACCAGCACAATGTCAGTGTCGCTATAATCAAAATATGAGCAGCAGGATTGGGCATCATATTAGCAGAGGGAAAGCTGAAAACATAAGATCCAACTCTCCCTAGATCATATAAATCGCCATCCACACCCAATACATTTAAAAGGTGCTTATGNTTGTTTCTATTCCATGAATTCAGCAATTCAGGATTCAATTCATTCGGTTTCTCCATGGATCCGTCAACAAAGGAAATTTTATTCTTCACCGTGAGGGCAATTGTCATTGCACGACTCCATGATCCATAATTCTCACCTGTAAGAGGCTGAGAAACCAGCACCAAACCTGGGTTATCAGAATGGTGGAGGTAGAACGGGCTAGACGGTTCATCAACGGCTGACTTGCTCACGGATGTGTTTATGTCGACATTCACTTGATTATTTACTGGATCCATTGCAGCAAGAAACACGAAGATCCCTTAGCAAATTAAAGGAAGAAATCGAAGGCAACAGAAGCACTCCTTTGCTCTGATACCATATTGAAACCAAAGATAAAACACCTTGAGAGAAAAATGTTTCTATTATTTTGCTTAAAGAGAAAATATATCACTTCCTGACTATATAGAGAGGAAGCAAAAGAGGCGGGAAAGAAGTCCAGCTGGCACAACAAACTCCAGCTGGAAAGTAAGTAGAAACAGAAAATATCACAAACTAACTAACTCACTTATTACCACTAATAAAGCTGAAAAGAAGTTCTAATAAGCAGCCCCTTCCATTTGATCAAATACCGAGTGCAAGGTGGAGCACCCCTCTGTCTAACCTCTCGATCAGCCAATATGATTTCAACATCATTCTCGAAAGATTTCTTAACAATTGGAGGTTATGATTCATTTTTGCCCGAATCTTCCAACTTGAGGCAATACACTTTAGCATACTTCAATACATCCGCAAAACAGGCTCACTATGGAAATCTAATTCACCCCCTGAGAGTCTCAACATATGGTACTAAATGACCTCAACCTATAGCTTTAGAAGGGTAGTCACACCGATTGATGAGCAAGCATGAAACTCCTTCAATTGCCAATATCGATTGCGACCAATCTTCCTAGCCGCGCGTGAGCCTTAAGAATCACACATACGTTAAAGAGGGGGTTCACGCCTATACATATAGGTCCGCTTTGAAATCGTCCGCCATGCACCCGCTGTCCATGTACGGCTCCATGAGAAGGGCGGTGGACAGAAGTGGCCTTGTTGTACCTCTTCATCAACTGTTTGGTCGAGATACTGTTACCTCATTAAACACTTCACGAAGAGCCCCTTCACTCACCAACTTGATCTTTCATAGGAATCGTATGTCCGAACAAGACTGGATAAGAAAGTCAACCTAATAGGTCACCTTTGCCACTCAAGTGTACGCCATCTGTCGTGCTTACTTATCAATTGGCCGTAGAATCAATATTTGAGTGATCAAACCTATCCATTTTAGCTTTCAGGAGTAAGAAAGAATCCATCACCTTATACGACCGGATCGTGTTTAGAATTAAGTTTAACTTAACTCAAAAGAGATAGTGTGAGTTCATATGTCCAAGTCATTCATCCCATAAATTCATATAAACCAACACTTATTAGTAGAATAGCACGTACATTCGAATTTGATATCGAGTCGATACAATTCAATTTAAAGCTTAATCCTTTTGGGACGATATTCTTTCTAACTAAACTATTACTTGTCAACAATTCCGAATGCTTGCAAAATTTCACCGAACTTTTGTTCAATCACGTTGTAACAAGAATCAGCATATCATTTTATTTGTATTGATCCATTAATAACATATGTATAAATTGGTTGATTGAAAGAAAAAAACTCAACTTTTGAGTAATCATAATAAACTGAATAA